ATTCACTTCCTATTTAAAGATGGGTTCCCTACAAATTTTTCAGATTTTTTTTAAACATTATTATGATTTTTCTTGATGCTATGAATCAAAGATTTTTCAAGAAAATATGAAAAGCATGTCATATGGGGTAACTTTACTGCAATTTGAAATTCCATCTCAAAGGGTTGTTGTCTATACCAGGGCCATGATGTTTTTCTGCATGGATACATCAACATACTTCAAAATAGGTAATGCATCTGGTCCTCAAAGTATAAGTATTAATACAAAGATAAACAAGAGGCCCATAGGGCCTGTATCGCTCACCTGGATATCTAAGCAATCATGGCAGAATATTCTCCAAATGAGATCCAAGGGAATATGCCAGACCCTAAGGCCAATCCTTGTAGCATATATATCTGTATTCAATTTTTCATGCCCAGCAATTTTATGTATGGTTATGGGGTGGGGATCTCAACTGTTTCCAAGTTGTGACTCAGAAACTAGATCCCTACGGTTGTGGCCAGACCCCAGGATCAATTCTTATATCATGACTGCATTTGTCTCTTTTTACCCAGCATTTGTATATATAGTTTTGGGGTAGGGATTTCAACCGTTTCAAAGTTATGACCCAGGGGTTAAGTCTGCAAGGGTGGGGCAAACCCTGGGGTCAATTCTAATAGCATGACTGCATTTGTCTCTTTATGCCCAACAGTTGTATATATAGTTTTGGGGTGGGGATCTTAACCATTTCAAAGTTATGACCCAGGGGTTAAGTCTCCAAGGGTGGTTCAGTCCCCAAGGCCATCCTGGAAGCATATGTGCATTCATGATCATCTCTTTGTAATCGGCAATTGTCTATATGGTTATAAGGTGGGGATCTCAACTGTTTCCAAGCTGTGACTAAGAAACTAGGTCCCTAGGGGTTCGGTCAGACCCCAGGGTCTATTCTAATATTGTGACTGCATTCGTCTCTTTATGCCCAGCATTTGTATATATATTTTTTGAGTGGGGATCGCAGTCGTTTTAAAGTTATGGCCCAAGGACTATGTTTCCAAGTGTGGGGCCAGACCCTAGGGCCATCCTGGAAGCAAATGTGCATTCTTCTCTTTATACTCAGCAATTGTATATGTGGTTATATGGTGGGGATCTTAACCATTTCCAGGCAATAAACTTGTTTTGGCCCCACCCCTTAGCCCGGGGGGTCAGCCCCACCATTTGTACAATTTTGAATCCCTGCCTCCCATGAATGCTTCCGACCAAATATGATCGATATCCATGGCATAGTTTTACAGAAGAAGTCGTTTATAGCAATCAAGTCAAATTGCCCCCTGTTGGCCCCGCCCTCAGCCCCCTGGGGGGTCAGCCCCACCATTTGTACAATTTTGAATGCCCACAAACTAGGGATGCTTCCAGTCTTATATGGTTGATATCCATCACTTTGTTCCAGAGAAGAAGTCGCTTAAAGCAATATAGCCAAATAACCCTTTCTGGCCCCGCCCCTCAGCCCCCTGGGGGGTCAGCCACACCATTTGTACAATTTTGAATCCCTGCATCCCATAAATGCTTTTGATTAAATATGATTGATATCCAGTGCATAGTTCTACAGAAGTCGTTTATAGCAATCTAGCCAAATTGCCCCCTTTTTGGCCCCGCCCCTCAACCCCCTGGGGGGTCAGCCGAACCATTTGTACAATTTTGAATCTCCACCACCTAGGGATGCTTCCAGTCAAATATGGTTGATATCCATTTCTTAGTTCCAGAGAAGAAGTCTCTTAAAGCAATATAGCCAAATTGCTCCCTTTTTGCCCCGCCCCTCAGGCCCCTGGGGGGTCAGCCCCACCATTTGTACAATTTTGATTCCCCACCACCAGTCAAATTTAGTTAAATTCCAATCAGTGGTGAAGAAGAAGAAGCCGTTGAAAAAAATTGTTGACGGACGGACGACGGACGACGAACGGACGGACGACGGACGCCACGGTATGGCATAAGCTCACCTTGGTCCTTTGGACCAGGTGAGCTAATAATTATGGGAGACCTTTTAGTTCAGCAAATTTGCGACACAGTAGCCGACAAGTTTAACTAAGATGTCAGCTTCACCATAGGGATTAAGATCCCTGCAAAACTGTCAGTCTTTTTTATTATTTTAATTATTCTGGCACTTGTTTTGAACTTGATTTTACAGGATGTGCTTATGTAAAGTTCAACACTTTTTTGATATTGGGAAATTTGATAAAATAACTGTAGCGTATTTCTTTCTTTCCAATAGTGAAAATATTACTGTCAGCTGAAGCTTGTTTATAACGTGGAATTAATCACACCCACTTATACATGTATATTGTACAGAGTATACTACCACTCAAACACCATCTATACAAATCAGTCTGTTTAAATATCATTTCTGCGATCAAGCATTCTTTTTATCACATGATATAAAGCTATCATATTAACTATGTACCAAAAACTAAGTGTTTGAAAGTGCATCCAATTTGGTTTGTTTGTTTTTTTGGCGTCCTATCAACAGCTATAGTCATTTAAGGACGTGCCAGGTTTTGGTGACAGAGGAAAACAAGAGTTCCCAGAGAGAAAAAAACATCGACCTACGGCCAGTACCTGGCGATTGCCCCACGTCAGTTTCGAACCCGCGATCCAGTGGTGGAGGGCTAGTTGTAGCAGAATGTCAGACACCTTAACCACTTGGCTGCCGCAGCCTCAAAAGTGCATCAAAATCATCTCAACAATTTTTATTTCTGAAGAAAACTTATCACAGGTGATTTTTGGGTTAGTTGTAATTTAAAATATTTCCATTAAATTTTTTCTGTCTAGGAATTTAAAGAAGATGCATGATTTATCTTTTGAATAAGTAAACATATATAAATTGCATGATTTTTTTCTGTCTAGGATTTTAACTGTCTTATAAAGTATATACTTTATACAAGGACAAATACATTCAACAGAAAATTCAATATTCTATTTATCACTTATTTTAATTTTTGGATTGAACATATTAAGTTTGTACATAATAATATTAGTTTTGACCAAGAATGTCTGAAAGACTTTGGTAAACCTGTAATAGTTTTTAACAATTCAAATAATTAACGATGATAACTTCATAGTTAAAACAGTTCTACGATACTTTGTTCTGTGTGGCTCGTCAGATAACTGATATAAAATCTACATCTAGTTAATATATGGAACTTCTCTATCATATCAAAGTAAATAAATCCTATCTCAGTATGGAACCTAATATCTATCCTACTAAAACAATTAACTTGTTCACCCCTGAAATGTCATAATGAACTATTCTAACCTTTGAATTGGATGAGTTCAAATGTGTCTTCAGGGGTGAATGAGTTTAACTACCTCTAATGTTGTTTTCGTTTTCAATTAGATGGCAAACTGTTACAAAAATCCTACATGATCGAGAAAAAATAATGAAAGAAAATATCATTATTATTATTAATGGCCATGGTAAGGTGAATACACATACCGGTATCTTAACAATCTAATTAAAATTATATTTTCACATTGCTCCCGTTTACTGATATGTCGCGTTGAAGATCTAACAACATCCCAAACGTTGTCTTGTAGATAGACACGGCGTGGGGTCATGGGCGCCGCCATTTTCGATGCTCATTTGACACCTTTCGGTCTTTTATCATAGCAAGTGTGTTCCGAAATCATTACATCATCACTTACAGAAATGCGCAAGCTCTCATCTGATTGGTTAATGCAAAGGTCGCCTGAACATGATCCTCTACGGGTTCAACGCGACATATCAGTAAACGTGAGCGATGTGAAGATATAATTTTAATTAGATTGGTATCTTAACAAAATGGAGGTGTTGATTTATTTACATAAAACTTACAACTTAAGATTTAGAATTTCATACATTGAAAGCTCTGATAACTTAATGATTTTTTTAGATATGAGATAGAAGATATAATCACAGATTACCATCACTTATAGTCTAAATAAAAAACTAGGTACATGATTTTTTTTATCTTTGCGTAAGCAGTACAACACAACCATAATAAGACAATAACTTATATAAATGTAGAAAGGAATACGTGAACAGCCAAGCTCAAGGGTATGTTATATAACATAATAAAGAACAAATTTCATGGCTTACATTACAAAAGAAATTAAATATAAACAATATACTTATTTAAACAAGAGGCCCATGGGCCTTAACGGTCACCTGAGTCTACAGTATTTATTTTTGTTGTTGAAATATGTACCAATTTGAGTAAAAAATAGTATAATGTTAACTTAACTTTGTCAGGACCATGAGCTGATCATTCCTAGACCAATTTTAAGTGAGATCGGCCTATTAGAACTTAGTAGCAAAATAGCGGCCATGGCAGCCAAATTGTATTTCTGATTGACCCGAAAAATAACAACACTTTGTCAGGACCATGAGGCGATCATTCCTACCAACTTTCAGTTCAATCGGTCCAGCAGAACTTGACTTTAAGTTTGAAATAGGTTTTCAAAATGGCGGCCGTGGCGGCCATATTGGATTTCTGATCGACCCGAAAAATAACAACACTTTGTCAGGACCATGAGGCGATCATTCCTACCAACTTTCAGTTCAATCGGTCCAGCAGAACTTGACTTTAAGTTTGAAATAGGTTTTCAAAATGGCGGCCGTGGCGGCCATATTGGATTTCTGATCGACCCGAAAAATAACAACACTTTGTCAGGACCATGAGGCGATCATTCCTACCAACTTTCAGTTCAATCGGTCCAGCAGAACTTGACTTTAAGTTTGAAATAGGTTTTCAAAATGGCGGCCGTGGCGGCCATATTGGATTTCTGATCGACCCGAAAAATAACAACACTTTGTCAGGACCATGAGGCGATCATTCCTACCAACTTTCAGTTCAATCGGCCCAGCAGAACTTGACTTTAAGTTTGAAATGTAAAATGTTAACGGACGATGGACGACGGACGACGGACGACGACGGACGAAAACGGATAGCAATAGGTCACTTGAGCTAAAGCTCAGGTGACCTAAAAAACCAAAAAAAACGTACCTTGGATATGTAATATATATATGCTACACAGCCATTGTAATAAACCTTCTGATAGCCATCAGAGCCCGCTTGTTCAGAGCCTGATTCTATAACAAGCTTTTATTACAACTTTTTCAAATTGCAATTTTTCGATAGATATCTGAAAAGTTGTATTTGTTGACAATCAGTTTAAATCCTGAAGCTGTCCTTTTAGTTTTGAATTTAAATATCTGTAAATACATACTAGATGTAAGTTTTACATTATTTTGTCTTTAACTTATTCACCCCTGAGGACACATTTGAACTCTTCCAATTCAAAGGTTAGAATAGTTCATCATGCAATTTCAGGGGTGAATGAGTTAAACTGATCAGGTTTTGAACAGCAAGGCCCTGTGACCAGGTGTCAGAAACAAAATATGCCAATATTTAGTATTTCCACTTGCTTCAGGAAAAAACAAGCAAAATAGATTTTAATCCAATGAATTGGCAAGGTTATTGTAAAATAAACAACAACATTCACTAAAATGTTTATACAATAATAATAAATGATTTTCTGCAATAAAATATTGGCAATATTGTACAATGCATTATGACATTTGAGACCTCACAGTCATTAGAATATATGAGACGTTTACTCCGAATTTATTTGTAAAATATTTGAGACAACTGTTACTGAATCTTATAAAAATTATCATACATTCAACGACAATAAAATGCCTGTATACGAGAGTGACATTAAAAACAACATATAAAGATGGGATGTTTTTACATGTCTTAATAATTTTGGGAACAGAATAGGCAATTCAGATACATTGTAATTTGTCAATTTAAAAAAGCTCTAAATGCATTTGTATACACTTTGGAAGTTATGATATCATTTTAAAAAAAACAAATGTTTCAGTTCATTTTTAGGATTGCTTTATTCCTGACAAAGGAACTATTTTGCAAAAATCTGAGTTGTATAATTTGAAGTAAGGGAGACCACTCTTTCTTTCTATATAAAAATAGGCAGAATTAAAAAAAGTATTTTGACAAATGTAGGCATTGGTTTGAAAAAGCTAGTTCTGACAAATAAATACAATTTAAACAACGTTGAAATAGTTTTGTCTGAATTAAAATAATGTAGTAAATGCATAGCTATTATTCAAATCACTTTTAAAAAAGAATCGGTACAACAAGTTTATTTCAAACTATTTCCTAAACACTATAATGCTGAGCTTATTGAGGAAAACTTAAACCACTTTGATTGCAAGAAATAGTTATGAGTAATATAGCATTTCTTAGATGTTTATACAATTAAATGTTTAAAGTAGATACTTTTTGTATAAAATTTTGCATAAAATTTCTTGAAAAGAAATAATCATTATTAAAACCTGGTTAAGGATATTTCAAAATAAGTGAAACATTGAGAAAATTTCCCTTAATTAAAACAAAACTATGTCAAGAGTCCTGCACTTGAGCAAGTCTAATTAGTGATTTGTAGTGTCATACCTGTATGTTAATTCTCTCCGAAGTTTAGCCAAAATATAGAACTGGTGTGTTTGTAATGTGTATATTCAATTTAATGTATTTATATTCATGAATGATAACAAAGTAAAAAGATGATATTACCAGGATAAATAAAAATCGTTTAGCTCTAAAAATCTGCTCATGAAACAAGAACTTTTTTCAAATAGGAAAAGAAATTCAACAGGAAAATGGCTATACTACAAGGGAGGTAACTGGAAAGAAAACTGCTACATGTATTCACTTATGGTAGTTGATATTGAGCCGAATAAATGGAAGACATCAGAATTAATGCAAGATACATAGAAAGATTATAAAGATAATTTTGAAGAAGGAAAATTAAATTAGAATATCATGTGCCATAAGGATTTTTACATATAATTAACTATACAACACTAGCATAGGTAACATTGTGTGATTTTTTCTGCTACATGATAAAAATTAAATATTTTCAATTCTACGTTTATTTTTGTAATTATTAGGCAACTATGACAAAGGCATTCTAACAATATCCACTTTATAAACAAAGAAGCAGTTATCGATAAATATGAAAAAATCTTTCTTCTATAACACGTACAAATTTGTCTCGCATTTTCAGCTTAAAATTTTCGTACCAAGATATCAATTCTTTCCTTCGTTTTGCTTTATATTCTTGAGAGAAAGTTGCCTCCCTTTGCAGTATCTCTTTTAGTTCGTTCCAATCTTTGACATATATAACTGGAGCGTTTTCCTCTTTGAGCAAACGGAGTGGCACATTATTAGAGACTGGTGACTCGCCACATTGACCGGCGGTCATCACGTCTTCTATGACAGGGATGGAACCGTAGGACATGGCCTCGTAGATCCTATAGCACTCTGTATTAATCCCCACAGGATTTAGGGTAAGGTCACTTTGGGCGAGGGCCCTTAGGTATGTGTCTCTACTGTCCTCTGTCTCATTTGGTAACCAGCTGTAAAATCAAATACAGTCTTTAATAGTATAGTTACAAAAATATTAATAATAATAATAATATTTTAACTATAAAAATTATTTTGATAAAACCATACACACTAATTTGCGCATATCAATGGAAATTTCACTCATATTCTGAAGAATGTTCACCCACAAAGTAAGAGTAAGTGACTCAATATAAATATATAGGCTTTGGATTACTCACATAAGATTCAATTCCGGTTGATCTAAATGTGACAAGGACAAATCTGTGACAACGTTACAGTTTTAAAACAGTTAACTCATTCACCCCTGAAATTTCATAATGAGCTATTTCAACTTTTGAATTGGAAGAGTTCAATTGTGTCTTCAGGGGTGAATGAGTTAAAGATGAATTCAACAAAGGGCAAATGTATCAAGGAAGACAGAAAATATTACAGCTATTTTTTTTTTTTAAAACACATATTTTGCAATTGCAATTTGTCTCTGTATTTAAACCCTAGAACCCAGTATAGTTGAGCTAGGGGTAAATATGAGAGGCTGCTTGACCATTAAAACATCGGAACTATACCTATTACGTTGTGTGGACTTACGTGTGTCTGGCCTTTATAAAACAAGAACTTCCTATTGAGCTTGTGCTGAGAGTTTGCAGTAGCGTCTCTCTGGTCGAGTTCTTGTAGACTGTCCCTAAAAAGTTGCATATGTATTTTCTGCTGTTCATTACTGGAACATTGTTACCTTTCACTTTAGGAAACTCGCGATACCTGAAGCAAGAAAGAAAATTTATAACTGATTACATCATAGACAAAAGAACCCCACAATCATAGCAGCCAGGGGCAAAACAATATAGGTCTGTCAGTAGCATCCCCTTAACTTCCTTAAGGATCCCTGTCCTGCTGCACTGTGTTTTTTGCTATGTACAGTAACCTCCCCTAACATCCTTAAGGATCCCTGTCCAGCTGCACTGTGTTTTTTCCTATGTACAGTAACCTCCCCTTAACTTCCTTAACGATCCCTGTCCTGCTTCACTGTGTTTTTTCCTATGTACAGTAACCTCCCCTAACATCCTTAAGGATCCCTGTCCCGCTGCACTGTGTTTTTTCCTATGTACAGTAATCTCCCCTTAACTTCCTTAAGGATACCTGTCCTGCTGCACTGTGTTTCTTCCTATGTACAGTTACCTCACCCTAACATCCTTAAGGATCCCCGTCCAGCTGCACTGTGTTTTTTCCTATCTACAGTTACCTCCCCTTAACTTTCTTAAGGATCCCTGTCCTGCTTCACTGTGTTTTTTCCTATGTACAATAATCTCCCCTTAACTTCGTTAAGGAGCCCTGTCCTGCTGCACTGTGTCTTTTCCTATGTACAGTTCCCTCCCCTTAACTTTCTTAAGGATCCCTGTCCTGCTGCCCTGTGTTTTTTCCTTTGTACAGTTTCCTCCCCTTAACTTCCTTAAGGATACCTGTCCTGCTGCACTGTGTTTCTTCCTATGTACAGTAAATTCCCCTAACTTCCTTAAGGATCCCTGTCCCGCTGCACTGTGTTTTTTCCTATGGACAGTAACCTCCCCTAACATCCTTAAGGATCCTTGTCCTGCTGAACTGTGTTTTTTCCTATGTACAGTAATCTCCCCTTAACTTCCTTAAGGATCCCTGTTCTGCTGCACTGTGTTTTTTCCTATCTACAGTTACCTCCCCTTAACTTACTTACGGATCCCTGTCCTGCTGCACTGTGTCTTTTCCTATGTACAGTTACCTCTCCTTAACTTCCTAAAGGATCCCTGTCCTGCTGCCCTGTGTTTTTTCCTTTGTACAGTGACCTCCCCTTAACTTCCTTACGGATCCCTGGCCTGGTGCACTGTGTCTTTTCCTATGTACAGTTCCCTCCCCTTAACTTCCTTAAGGATCCCTGTCCTGCTGCACTGTGTTTTTTCCTTTGTACAGTTACCTCCCCTTAACTTCCTTACGGATCCCTGTCCTGCTGCACTGTGTCTTTTCCTATGTACAGTTACCTCCCCTTAACTTTCTTAAGGATCCCTGTCCTGCTGCACTGTGTTTTTTCCTATGTACAATAATCTCCCCTTAACTTCATTAAGGATCCCTGTCCTGCTGCACTGTGTTTTTTCCTATGTACAGTAACCTCCCCTAACTTCCTTAAGGATCCCTGTCCAGCTGCACTGTGTTTTTTCCTATGTACAGTTACCTCCCCTTAACTTCTTTAAGGATCCCTGTCCCACTGCATTGTGTTTTTTCCTATTTACAGTAACCTCTCCTTAACTTCCTTAAGGATCCCTGTCCTGCTGCACTGCGTTTTTTCCTATGTACAGTAACCTCCCCTTAACTTCCTTACGGATCCCTGTCCTGCTGCACTTTGTTTTTTCCTATGTACAGTAACCTCCCCCTAACATACTTAAGGATCCCTGTCCTGCTGCACTGTGTTTTTTCCTATGTACAGTATCCACCCCTAACATCCTTAAGGATCCCTGTCCTGCTGCACTGCGTTTTTTCCTATGTACAGTAACCTCCCCCTAACATCCTTAAGGATCCCTGTCCTGCTGCACTGTGTTTTTTCCTTTGTACAGTTTCCTCCCCTTAACTTCCTTAAGGATCCCTGTCCTGCTGCACTGTGTTTTTACCTATGTACAGTTACCTCACCCTAACATCCTTAAGGATCCCTGTCCTAGGTCTGTCAGTAGCATCCCCTTAACTTCCTTGAGGATCCCTGTCCTGCTGCACTGTGTTTTTTCCTATGTACAGTAACCTCCCCTTAACTTCCATTTGGATATTACTATAGGACAGTTGGGCCAGGACACTTCTGTTAACCAGGTAGCTTAATCTGTTAGAGCGATAGTACAACAATCTGGTGTCCAGTGTTCGAATCCCGGTTTAGCCTGGCTGAATTTCATCACACTCAGAACACTATTGATTTTTTTGTTCATTTCATCTTTTATTTTTTCTCATAAAAGTACCTTTCTAATGCATTTCAACAAAATGTAGAAAACATCAAAATTTAACAGGTGAAAATTACATCATTGTATCATATTACTAGATAATAAGAACAAATACTTACGTAGCAACTCCTAACGGCCATTGATAGAAATTTATATTGTCAATTTTGGAACTGTCATAGGTTAGGAAAACCAATTTGACCAGACCATCGCTTTTTTCCATATATGGTTTGAGCCAATCATTATCACATCGCTCGTTGCCTAATAACACCACTGCCGCATTCTGAAGTTTCGGAAGGGAAGGGAGATAATCCAGCCATGTTTTGGCCAATGCAATTTTTGATGGTTCCCTGCCGTTTAGCACCAACACAACATTTTGTGCGTGTTTAGGAGCTTTTGACGGAATGACACCTGGACCTGTCCGATATCTGGAATAACAGAAATAAAACAATATAGTCAGTGAGAAATGTTGACATTAAAAAACCAAAACCATGGTATTGCTTGCAGTAAGGAGAAAAACAATGTCCAAAAATACTTAAAGCTACAATATTAATAGACACTTAATCTAATTATGTGGGTATTGAGTTTGTATATGTTAGAGTAATTCGAAATTCAAATTGTAATGACAGTTTAAAAAATACCCAGCATAGTTTTCCCTGTTTTGTATTAGGAGCTTGAAGCTTGGAAAAATTACTCAATATCATCAATGATTTCTTCTTGGAAAGAAAAGTCTTTAATTCATCAACCCCTGAAATTTGATAATGAACTATTCCAAACTTTGAATTGGAAGAGTTTAAATGTGTCTTCAGGGGTGCATGAGTTAATAGAAGGGTTAACAAGTGATGAATAAAAACACATAAACTACTGAAGAACCCTTTTGTGCTCTCTGATTCCTAGTGGTAACTCGGTTTGAATGTATCTTTTACCAATGTCTTGTTCAGTGGCACTTCATCTCTAGTTATCATATTTTCTAGAATCATCTGACCCTTTAATTCTAGTTTTGACATGTTCCTTCATGACACGGACAAACAGCAGTAGCTATATATGTCCAATTTGCCCCATTCACCTCATCAAATGTCTTTATAATGGACAATAAACCATGCAGCAATGGTTATTTCACGACCAGACACAATACACTGTCAAGTGCTCCGGGTGATGTCGTCAGTAACTGATTTCATATTGTTCTTATTTTCACAAAAAAAACTCTGCTCTGAATGATATTGTTTCAGAAAATTCCTGTAAATGTCAAGACAAAAAAAAAAATTCTTTCAGGATTGGTTTACAGAATAATACTTTTTTAGAAGTTCCTTTTATTGATCCGCCTTCATACCGATTCAGAATCATACTGCACTAAATGTTGGTAACCAAATTCTTGGAATCCAAGTCTTATTCAATATCTGAGTGCACTAAAACATCTTCAATCAGTCTCTCAGTATAAGTCTGCAGTTCATACAGCACTAAATAGTGAGACCAAACTGTAGATTCTCTGTTTGATATCAACACTTGCCAATCCTCGCTCCTTCTGTCTCTACGTAGTCAGCGATCACAAGGTTAAATCTCCCCTCCCCCATGCCTCAAATGCCAGTATTTACTGCAAAGGAAGACAGTAAATTGTCTGTAGGATCCAGAGTCTCACTTTGATGCTCAGGGCATTGGCAACTTGACTATAGCTGATCAGAAAGTTGAATTTTGCAACTTGTATAAAAAAAAAAAAAAAAAAAAAAAAAGTGCTTAATTTTTGTTTGTTTTAAATACACATAATCTTAAATCAAACCTCAATGAGTAATTTGGTATGAGCTTCAACATTTATAATAAATAACAATATATAATTTACAAAACTGTTTTTGAATTGGTGATCATCTAACAAGGCTTGAGAAAACATCGATATCTAAGCCATGTCACTGACTTAATGTACTGTTGAAGTGAACTTCGGAATGGTTAAAAGTGAAAACTCAATTACTGTATAGATGTTTCTTGGCCTAGTTATTTATTTACAATGTTTCAATGTTGACTTTCAACTGAAATTACAACCAACTACCATTTTGTTCCTTCCAACCAATTTATATTTGAAAAACATGAACGTAGTTAATGAGTATGTGAAGGTCGAGCGAAGCCCTGGGTTTATAAACTTAATTATACCTTGAAAAACACAGTGGTAAACTTTATAGAATCAATATTTTTTTTCACAAACAGTAATTATAAGTCTTAAGAAAAGACAAGCATTGTAACTACTTTATCGACCTACTGGTTACTCAGTTCTATGAAAATAAACGCCATTGTTGAAAGTGGATACTTCCTGAAGCGTTTCCTGAATGTGAAAAGTTATAATCTTCTTGCAAAAACAGTTTCTAAAAAAACATATTTCTGAACTGTTTTCAAAACCTTAACTTTTTTAATAATGAGCATACTTTAAACAAAATATTCCAATTTCAAATAAGTCAAACACAAGGTCGGAGTTAATACATGTACACCACAACATTCGTCTCAATATAAATTCATGATAAAGATTTAGTCTAGATTATTGCCAATATACAGTTTATATTAAAGTCAATATCTTATTAGAACATAAAATATGTGCATGAGGCTGTGGGGATAAAATTGAAACATAAAATCCCAAAACTCTCTATAATAATTTCCCCTGAACATTGTACTTTCAATTATGACCATGAAATCTAAAATGGAAGACACTAAAAAAACACCATAAAATGTTGTCACACCATATCATTATGTTTACAACATTGGACCGTTTTATGGCATTCATATTGCCATAAAGTGTACATGTCATTATACAGGTCTTTGCCAATAGTGTGTATACTGAGAAACTCAATTATTTGCCCTACACCGATAAAATCATCATTCACCTAGCGATAACTTTGTCCTTCATGTGCTGTTGTATATAAGGTATGCTGTGTTTCTATATTCCATAAATTTGCCACCATTGTCAAGGGCGAAAAGGGCAAAAGTAAATAAAATGAGGCGAACATTTCCAGGCATATAGTATCCGATTACACCAAAACAATGGGTGTATTTTTAATTTGACATGGTTATATGTACACCTTGTCACTTGTAGGATTGATAGAAGTATAATACAGGGAAAACATGTTTACAATCAGTCTATTCTATTGGAAAATTAGAAAATTATAAAGTGAAAACATGACACTATTATGCAACCAATCAGATCCAAAATCCGTCTATTAATTGCGTTAAAGTGAAGCATGGTTATAACATTATAGTGTTGTCTCACTGAAATTCTCTCCCACACTTGACACATACATTAACCTAACTTGTGATAGATTTAACAGCAACCAATTTTATCATGATATCTCATTGAAATAGTCAGGTATAAAAATAAGTTGTGATATAATCTAATCTAACTGACTTTAAAGTCTCATATTTCCCAATTTTTCGAAATTTCCATGGGGAAGAAGATTATGCATGGTCAGAATTAAAAGAACATTAAATGAAATGATTGAATGTACACCTTACGTTAAAAAACACTTTAAAATGAATGAAATCATCAGATCTTAGAAAATAGGAATAGTTTAGCAAATTCACTGGTTGAAAATGCTCAATTTTAGGGTCCACGATCGGGAGTCTCCCTTTAAAATAGGGAGAGTTGGTAGGTATGAAATCTAATGTTATTGAACTGTCCAAACATGACACATATGATAAGAATTTACTCCAGTCAATATTAAAGTGCTGTCACAATGAAATATCTAAACATATCACATCCCCTTCTAGTCAAACAGACTTCAATCACCCCTACATATTTAAACTGGACTTGTCCAGTCTTTGATTTCATAAGGTTCAAATGTGACTTTTAGGTGAATGGGTTAATTCCTGCCACTGAAAAGTTCTGTGATAGTCCATGGCAACTAGGGATAAAGAACTGTACACTGTTACATGCTGTGTTGGATAGGAGTAGGCGGTAATTTAGCTAGCCTATAGTGGCAATGTGATATTATACATATAGTCATGTGAATACAGCATCCTAATGCAATTGTTTATTGCACCATGAACATCATTAACCTTTATGTATGGTTCATTAATCAAACAAATGGGAATTAGCTCCCCCCCCCCCCCCCCCCCCCCCTTGTTTTCTAGGTCAAGGCGAACACCTACATTATTAACACTAGTCGTTCCATCCAGTCCTTCAGTCCCCATTAGAGTTAGATTCACAAATGTCCCACTGTACTATGGATTGTCATAAATACAATATCTCCCCTTAATTTCGTTTTGGATATAACTGTAGCACAGTTGGTCCATTCACTTCCACGGATCAGTTAACTCAATAAGTTAGAGCAAAAGTACATGTATAACAACAAGTCAAGGCTCCTGGGTCTAGCCATCCTGATTAATGATTTTACACTCAGAACATTATTGTTGATTATTTTTTGTTTAATTTATCTTCATTTTTTCCCCATAAAAGTCCCGGAAGGTTTACTTTTCTTTTGAAAAATGATTTATCAAAGATAAAGTGATACCGGAAGAAGAAATTTCAATTGAATATGTTTTGGTTTTTAGCAGTGGTTCCCGGATCCTCAAGAAATCTTTAAGTTTCTCCATAGAAAAGTATCATTGTAGATTGCAGTTAAGAAGAAATGGAAATTTATGGAAATTTTCATGTAGAAATATTTAGAAGTACTATATGGTATAGTTAGTCTTAAAACACAGCAGAAAATGCTGATTGTCATTGTATGATAATCCTAGTGTTATTATTCAATATTTTTTGTGAAAGAGAGATATTGAGAATATGTTAATCTTGGCTATTGAAGAATATACATTTAAGAAAGGTCATGAAAAGGTCACTGAGCTGAGTACTATATACTTCTTGGAAGTTTTCACTTAGATAAGGGAGGTAAATGATAGTGAATACATTCCTGATGATTATAACATGTTTCAAAAGGAATACAAAACAGAGAACTTAGAAGATATATTTGTTTGATAGCTAAACTAATGTATGGCTCTGATCACACTACAAGAAATAAATATGCAATTTTGATGTAAAACACGAAATTTTAAAGCATAAATCTTTCAGCAGCTGCACTTTCCTTGTATAATTACTATAACGTAACGGGTTTTAAAACGTAGCCTAATGTCGCTCCCTTTTGACACCAATAACAATTAAAGATGAGATACTGTGACTGTGGAAAATAGGTTTCATTAAAAGTGTTAAGTACAAAGGATTTCTTTTACAGTTATGTACGGGGCAATGGCCTTCGATCTGAATGCACTTTTACTGAATTTGAACTCGTTCACCCCTGAAATTTCATAATGAACTATTCCAACCTTTGATTTGGAAGAGTTCAAATATGTCTTCACAGGATACCAAATTGGGATGTTACATGTTCCAAGACTGATACAGTGTACTCCTGAAATAGGGTTTACATGGTGGTGATGTAAGTGAATCCACCTGCACTGGACTCCA